TGCAAAAATCTATTGGTGGGAGTATTTAATTTAAACCATCAATATAGTATTTTTGCCAATGGATTTTGTTTCTGTGTAGTATAGTGTTGCGATGTGGTACACTGAAAAATTGCAATAGTAGGTTCGTCACCAAAGTTTTCGAGCCGCTCCGTCTGTCACTTCGTTTGTGCTACTACTGGATTGTACTAGCATTTTCAATAAATGTACTAGAATGTTTTGGTTCTATCTCTTTCACTCTACTCAAAACTGAAATGCATAAAAAAATGACAAAATGATACACTCTTTGCACACTGTCAAAGATCATTGCACACAAAATCAACTTTGTTCAAATCAAAACAAAAATACTAGCCCATCTGGTGGCTGATGGCACAAGCTTCTAAGAAAATTCTATTACAGCAATCCACATTATTTTAATTAATTATATGATTTGAGTAGTAGCTTTACTGAAGATCCGAGAGATGTCGCCCCTTTAGTGGTAGGAATATCATTTTTACGGCATGGAGAATATCAGAAAATCCACGATTTGAGTCTAAACGTGCTTTTACAGAAGGAAACAAATAAACGAGTGTTTACCTTATCACCATAGTAATGTACTCGTGCAATTTTTGTGCATCTAAAACTGCTCATAAAGACAGTAATGAATAAAAACTGAAAATTTTCATGCATTTCCAAATGGTTTCCTACCATTCCCATACATTCGAAATTGACTGGCCCTCTGGATGTGGATGATGTCAAAAACAACAAAACATGATTAATTGATTTCTTCGCCAGTAAGTCGTCTGCCATTACTCGTAAAATGCCATTCAAGCGGAGATCAAAGTTCTCTCTCGGGTGAGCAGTGCATGTTGTACACGCTTATTCTGGTCAACTCAAAATTGAGTCGAATGTACTCATCTCAGCGGCAAGTATGGCTACTCAAAATTGAGTAGCCTTATCTTGACTCACTTTTGAGTAAACTACGTTCTCACGTAGACTGAGTCAAATCCACTCGCCGGTATTTTCAGTTGCAGGGAGGGTTTTTATTTTGGTTTTCATTCAAGGAAATGGAAATTGCCTGCTCCGGATTCCTTCTACCGGAGCAAAAAACGGTTCAACACCGTTTCCCTAAGCAATTCGTACTTACCTGAAGGCATTCCAGCCGGCATTTTCTATGAACTTTCCTCCGACATGACTGGCATTTTTTCCAAGTCCAGGATTTTGCTGACTGAGTGGCTTTTACTCAGTTTGACATTTCTCGTTTACTCAATTTTTGACAACTCGATACATCGGACGAAAGTGAGTACGATCGACTCACCTGGTGAGTAAGCAGAAGTTAGCGTGTATGGACAAGGACGTTATTAGGTGAGGGATCGATTATGCACGGTCGTCTCGGGATTAGCAATGGTGGGTTTGTCATGTGTGAAAGGTCTGCTGCGGGTTTACCAACGTTCGCCTCGTGCACGAACACCAGCATATGAGGTAAGAAACGCTTGGATTGGATGGAGTCGGTGGTTATAAAACGTGATGACCACATCAAACATTGATGATGGAAAGAGTAGAAAAGCTCAAATGCGGAGAAAAAAATACTACCCAAAATTTGAGTTCGTTTTACTTAATTTTGAGTTCAGTCTCTCACTTGCACTCGTTATTGGTGTCAAAAAGGAACGAGAGATTAGAACCAACGTTCAGAATAATAAGTTATTTTGGAGTAAATATCATATTCTCAAATTTACGTGAATTAAACCAAATTTTGGGTAGAATATATCACAAGAGCAAATTTTTATTATGTCGAAAGCGAGGGGGCGACTCTATCTACGATACAAGAAAAATGTTTTGCAGTGGTTAGCTGCGCGCACGCTGAGTAAATAGAAAGAAGATTGACGACGACTATGAAGATTTCCTGCAAAAAAGAATATGCGCGATGCAAGTAGATGCGAGAAATGAAAGAAGATTTTCCGAAGATTGATTCGCTAGAGTGTTAAGCATCTAGAATTCAGATTTAAATGTGTCGTCTTGAACAAAAATCACATTAAAAATAATCCACACTTTAATACTTCGTGAAAAATCACGTAAGGTTTAAATTTTCCCCTTTCATTCTTCTTTACGTGATCTCGTATAATCTATACAATTCCACCTAAATGGTAAAAGAAATAACAATTACACCCATTTATTTATCCAATGAATATTGCGTGATTTTCACACATCTAAAACCTATGTGCGTTTCACGTTAGTCGTATGTCAATTCCACGTATGAAAAAATAGGGCACTCAGTTGGGTGTTCAACATGGCGGCATGAGTGTAAAAATCCAGATTTGTTATTATTGTATTTTTGGACTGCTTGAAAACGTACGTATAAGATTAAAATTATACTGTAAAATATTCGTGTTTTGATTAGTTTATTTGAAGAAGAAAGTAGAAAAGGCAGTTGATTTTTCTTTTTATTCCTTTCCAGCCCCACGATGGATCCTTCTCGGATACTATCAGAGAGATAAGCGATAGCGGCGGAAGCGAACATGCTCTTGCACTTGAACAAACACCTCAACTTTGTTCAACTGCAGCAGTCGAGTTTACAGCTCACGGCTCCTCACCGGAACGGGAAGATAATGGCTGGTATTACCAGTAATAAGCAGCTCAAACGGAGGCGAAGCTATAACGAAGCCGGGAAGTGCAATCGTCCCATGGCTGCCGTTAACTAACCATCGAGCTTGGGTTTTATAGCAATGTTTTTTGCCTTTTGTTTATACATGTTATTCTTCACCTCATGGTTTTCTTTACTAATAAAGAAAGTATTAATCCTAAGACTTATTCATATATTTCACTTACCCATATTAGCAGCTAAAGCAACTCTGCTTCTTTTAACGTTCATCGGAGCTATTAACTGCCATTGGTCTTTTTCTGGTATATACACTTCTACCGAACGTAAAAAACAACTTCCATCATATCCTGAAAAAATAAATCACTATATTATTTTATCCTACGATGAATTATAAGCAACTCACCACCGCATGCATACAATTTACCTCCAAGAGTTGCAACTCCTAATCTACACCTGCGATTCAACATTGAACGAATCTAGAAGTCATGAATAACATTAGTAAGTGTGATTAAAAAGTAAATGCGAACAAAATCAAAATACTTTGGTCCACGTGTTGGTTGCTACGTCATATCGCTCTACGGAATCGAATATAGAAAGACCATCATGACCACCTATAAAGAACAAAACCAAAGAATAGAAAATTATGTACGTGCCTTTTATGATTACCTTTTCTGTGTGGAGTTCTTCTTTCCTTTATTTAACGTCGGCCTCTGTTCCGCAATCTAGTGCCAATCACCGACGGACATCGATTGCCATCCATTGACGGCAATCGAATGTGCAGGAAGACAGCTTCCACACCTGCGTAGGATTTCGCACCCATTCAAACACACATGGGGTGTTCGTTGCGTTGTACATGAGCAACCTACGCTTTTAAAAAATTTCTTCATACGAATGAGTAAAAGTGACCCACTCTCTGAGTAAGATTCGGTTTCAGTGTACAACGCAACGAACACCCCTGTTTATCACTCGGCAGTCAAACGATGACTGCAGTCAAACTGTCTACGTTTCCCTTACTTAAGCATTTAGATTAGCATCCTATGGCCGTCCTTTTTTTATATATGTTGCTCATGTAGGTGAGTGAAGATAAAAAGCAGAGACAATAAATGATATTGAGTGGTACCTTTTGGTTGATTGCGACTTAAGACTTTGATCATTTTTCAATAGTTAATCACTGATAAACAACTAGGGGAAATGGATGTAATGTCGGCCTAAATGTTCCTAATTTGGGCCCATACATAAATTCAGTAATCGACTAAATTTTCAATAGCGAACAAAAATTATCCGTTAGAACCGTCCCTATGACGCGTTCATTAAGATACAATTGGTAAATGGTAAAACAGCAAAAAAGGTTATCTTCCATTTAATTCCACTTAATTTTGGTATCCATGACAGATACGTATTTCGACTACAATGTGCAGTCTTCATCAGTGTCATTCCCACTAAAGAACTTATCAAAATCTGACCCCCTTAAGTACTCATCCCCTAGGTAAAAAAGTCAAGATCATAGGTATAAAAATGAAACTACAATGTGTTGAATCGGAACCTACCTAACTAATAAAAACCAAAGATTTAAGTAAGCTAAAGGAGAAAAATCTATACAACTCTCTAATAAGGAAATTCCCCAAAGGCTTGGTAGCCATCATTCCCCAAAAAGCTAATCGCAAGCTAACAAGTTTTGCAATTATGAAGCTAGGAATCCCACCCTAAGACTTTAGCCATAATGGTCGAAAAAAAAAGTTTTTTTAATGATTGGGTGTAGCTCCTCTTTTGCCTTTTCAATCAACTACTATCAACCTTAACATGTTTTTTGTTAAAAATTAATTGGAGTAGTTCTTTGTGTTGGGATTTTTGAGGATATTTTCAATTGACGGCAATTGAGAAACATAGGGAAACCTTGGATATTGCAGGTATCGATAAGCACTCGATTTCATTTATCGTTCTGCTTACAAAACTCTTGCGAATGGAACGATGCAAAGTCAGCTCAAAACACTGAATATTTTTCAAATGGTACTCCTAACTCTTGTTCCAAACTTTGAAGCTTCTCTCTGGATTACGAAATGTAAACACTTAATTCCACATTTACGCGGTCATGTTTTTCCTCCTACGAAATGTGTCTTCTAAGTTTACCACAGTTTTGATGTGTAATCAAGGTGATGAATTTGTTAAAGTTAGCTATATAATTTTAAATAAAGCACATAAATGGTTAAGGAAATAGTAAGACATGAGTTCAAGAGTGCTAGGAACACATAAAATTATAAACCACGGTAGAATCATTCAAAAGAATTGACAAGCCCTTTGATCCTCTTTCTCATTTTACAGCTGGTATAATCAATTTGACAGATCGATGTCCTTCTATACCACTTGAAATCACCGAAATGGGGTCGATTTTTGATGATCGAGTTCCACATATGTTATGTGCCTTTAGCCACTGCTACGAGTTCCTCGTTGGTGACTTCGACGTTATCTCCCTTTCCTTCTCTGTACGGTGTCCTTCTATCCTTCTATAAAGGTGGCCAGGTCATTGGGTCGTGCTTCGAGAAAAGTCCTTCCACGATGACTTTCAGCTGCTCTGGGCTCATTTCAGCGGGCATCGTTGGACCTATGATCTTCGCCATCACGACTCGGTATGCGTCGCCCCAGGAGTTGGCATCAGCGACTCGACACAGCTCCTTAAAACAGTTTGACTTGCTCTGCTTAATCTCTCGTTTAAGTGCGGCCCTGGCCGCTCGAAACACTCCTCTTCGTTCTTCTCTTTCTGCTTCCGTTCTTGCTCTCTGAGCACGTCTTCTGGCTCTGAGACAATAAGCGCAGAGAGTGCTAAGTGCCTCGTTCCACCAGTAAACTGGACGCCGTCTGTTATTTGGCTTCAGTTTCCTCGGCATGGTCGTGTCTTATGCTCTCACTAACGTTTCTGTCAGCTCATCCGCGTTTAGATCTGCGTTACTCCTGTCGACACGAAGTGCCTCAATGAAAAGATCCTTGTCGAAAGCCTTCGTCTTCCACTTCCGGTCACCATATCGGTTGCCATATCGGATCGCCTGATGGTCGCTATGGGTATATGCTTCGCACACTCTCCAATCCATGTTTGCCACCAACGACGGACTGCAGAAAGTAACGTCAATAATGGATTCCCGGCCATCTCTGCAAAAAGTGCTGCTGGTGCCTTCGTTGGCGAGCATAACATCCAGTTTTGCCAGAGCTTCCAGCAGACTGTGCCCTCTTGCATTGGAACACCTGCTTCCTCACCCCTCTGCCCAAGCATTGAAGTCTCCTCCGATGACTACCGGTCGTCGTCCAATCAGCTCTTCGGTAAGTCCATTCAGCATCGCATGGAACTTCTCAATCGTCCATCTGGGGGGTGCGTAACAACTACACATGAAGATTCCGTTGACTTTTTGTTTTTTTTTTTTGGATAGAGCTCTTACGCTCGCCCTTTCGCCAAGAGACTTTTCGACAAGCTCCTTGAAGGCTGAGCTCTTGATCGCAGGATTCTTCTTCAGCTCAAAGAGCATCTCACCCCTCTGGGTGCGCCTGGTTTTCACCACGTTCTCTCCTAGTTGCTTCAACTATGGATCCTCTCGAACCTTCCGGAGGAGTGCTGCATACGACGTTTTGTCTTTAGCTACGATGATCAGAGCATCGCCCTTACTTCGCTTCCGACGAGTCCTGGGTATCTCCTCCTTCTGTTCAGTTTTCTTCTTCACTTATTTTTTCTTCCGTTTTTTCCACTTCTCCTTCGGCTTCTCGACGGTACGCCATCCTTCTTCCTTGTTGTCCTCCTCTTCGTTCTTGACTTTTTTAAACTCCTCTTCCTCTCCTGGCGTTTCCCTTTTCCTCTTCTCCGAGCGTGGATTGGCGTCTCCTGTATTTCAGCTGCTGCTTTCTCCTTGGCCTCGATCAGCACCCTTTCGGCAGTCACGGATCTCGTCCTCAGCGCATCCTGTTCACGTTCGGCAGCAATCATGGTGGATTTGATGCCCGTCACCATTTCCTTTATTGCCTTGTGGACGTTGCTTTTATCCTTGACGAAGTCATGAGTTCATTGATCCTCCTCCTGACCTCCATCAATTTGGTCTTCCCAAGCTGCAATCCTTCTTGAGGTGTGCTTCTGCTGGATTTCGGTGTGAACATCTGGCTTAGCATAAGACCTAGCTCTCCTTGGTGTCCTTGCTGCTCACCTTGGGGCTTACTGCTGCTGCTGGAACTCGGTGTTTCAACACTGGTGATCTCTGCAATATCCCGCTTCTTCTCCCGCGTTTTCGTTTTCTGGCGTTTTGCCGTCGTCCACTAAGTGTGTGTGTGTGTGTGCGTGCGTGTGTGTGTGAGTGTGTGTGTGTGTCTGTGTGTGTATGTCTGTGTGTGTGTGTGTGTGTGTGTGTGTGTGTGTGTGTGTGTGTGTGTGTGTGTGTTTATGTGTGTGTGTGTGTGTATGTGTGTGTGTGTGTGTGTGTGTGTGCGTGTGTGTGTGTGTGTGTGTGTGTGTGTGTGTGTGTGTGTGTGTGTGTGTGTGTGTGCGTGAGAGTGTGTGTGCGTGAGAGTGTGTGTGCGTGCGTGTGCGTGCGTGTGTGTGCGTGTGTGTGCGTGTGTGTGTGTGTGAGTGTGTGTGTGTGTCTGTGTGTGTATGTCTGTGTGTGTGTGTGTGTGTGTGTGTGTGTGTGTGTGTGTGTGTGTGTGTGTGTGTGTGTGTGTGTGTGTGCGTGTGTGTGTGTGTGTGTGTGTGTGTGTGTGTGTGTGTGTGTGTGTGTATCTGTGTGTGTGTGTGTGTGTGTTTTTTTTTTTTGGCTACAAGGAAACCTTCAAAATGCCATCGTGACACCGCTTGATGACTGGGCGCACAGTCCGCGGTTACATGGTGTGTGGGATTCTTACCGTACTAAAACCTCCTTGGACGCCTTGCCCTTTTCCCCCGGAACCACTTGTCGTATTACTTCGGAGGGGGCCGTGCATTACGCACATCACTTTACCTCAGCTAATTGGCGCTTCCAGTTTGCTGATCGTCTCTCCAATTTGTGAGTCATTTAGTCATTTAGGTCGATTCAGCCTACTTTGACGGAGAGTTCTCTCGGCTTCGGCTTTCACTTCGCACTTGTGTGAGCATATTACTCCTTTCTAGCTGGTCCTCTTGCTATTTTCGCTGCAGCGCTGACATGATCTGCGTTACTGCTCTGCTGACGGCGTTAAAGGTGCCCTCCTCTCGACACATTTCTGCGACGACATTCTCCGTGCTAAGGGTGAGCATCTCTTCTCGCACAGCATCAAATCTAGGACATTCGAAGACCACGTGCTGTGGTGATTCTTCCACATTCCCACACTCCGGACAGAGGGGTGACGTTGTGTGTCCGAACCGATGCAGGTACTTCCTGAGGCAGCCATGACGAGAGAGGAACTGCGTCAAGTGGAAGTTGACTTCTCCATGCTTCCTGTTCACCCAGGTCGAAAGAATCGGTATTAGCCTGTGTGTCCATCTACCGTTCTCTGCTGCATCCCACTCCTGCTGCCACTTAGCCATCGACACCGTTCTCAACATTTTTCGTACTCCTCTAATTTCTCTCGTCATATAGCACTCGTAGTCCTTCACCAAGGTGATGCCGATAGGGATCATACCGGCGAT